AGGGATTTTTGAAAATTGACGGTTCAAATGCATGCTTTTTTTTCTCTGACAAAACGACACGTTTTCATAATTTTAAAAAATATATAATTAAAATATAATTAAACTTTATTCAAAACTTATTTTGAACAACTTTTCCTTATTTGCAATTAGATCAAGTTCAAAATTTATTTAAATTTGTATTTTTTATTATTTTGTTGTGACTGGTGATTATATTTAGAACTTGAATTTAAAGAATGAACATGTAAAATTATGAAATTTTGAAATTTTGTAGGTGTCGTGATATTCTTTAGAGACCGAGTCATCTGGTTCGACCGATTTGATAAATATATAATTTTGTTATAAAGACTAGTTTATTCAACCTAGTTATCTGGTTTAATACAGTTTAGTTATGTGGTTCGACCAATGACTTAATGGTTCGATCAATGAACCAGTGATTAGGGATGTCCGTTTGCACCCGTTAGTGGGGATCCTCGCGGGGGCTCCCTGTTTGGGGCCCCAAAAATGGGGATATTTCTCCCCGTGGGGACGGGAATGGAGAATAAATTTCCCTGAATATATTTTGAGGATGGGGATGACGAACATATCCCCCACCCCGTGGAGTCTCCGCCCCGCACTAGAATTCTATAATATCGTTAATTACTATATAACTTAACATTTCTATGTAAGTTTATTTATCATTTCAAATAACTTGTTTTATAAACAAATGTAAAACACATATGCAATGTTAGTAAGAGAGAGAGAGAGAGAGAGAGAGAGAGAGAGAGAGAGAGAGAGAGAGAGAGAGAGAGAGAGAGAGAGAGATCTAAATGACTATTTTAATTTTTCTAAAGTTTGAAAATTTTGTGTTCATGAATCTCAAGATTAAATATTGTTAAAATAATATATTTATCATAGATGATTAGTTTATTAATTTCTTGTGGTTAATTTTTAAATTTTTTCTATTAATTTAGTAAAAAATAATAAATAAAAATTTATGTTTATAGATATCCGCAGAAATCGTGGGGATCCGCGAGGATCCGTGGAGATGGGGATGAGGGACAAAATCCTCCCGTGGCGGGGATCCGATATAAGAATGGGGAGTAAATTCGAGGGCGAAGATTGAAATTGGAACGTATCCCCCGCCCCCGTCCCATTGACATTCTAACTAGTGACCCAATACCTTCACCAATTTGATGACTGGTCTGATTTCTAAAATATTGATTTAGAGGATGGATTTGGAGAGCTTAGACAAATTACTCAAATATAATTTTTGTTGTTGTAGTATTTGAAAAATTAAAAATATATTAATGATAAGCACTATTTTATCACATTTTACAAAATATTTTTTTCAAAAAATGTTAAACAAATTTCTATAATTTTTAAAAAAAATCATTTTTCAAAATCTTCCCTTCTAAACTCCTAAACAAAACCTTAAAGATAATTTTGGATCTTAATGTTACAAACATGTCCCAAATGAAAGAAGAAGGATGTTGGCTGATAAAAGTGAGGCATTGATCTTGATTCACTATGATTCTAGACGACCATACAAGTTGTTTGATTCTCACCAACAAAAGATTGTCATCAATAAAAAGATATTACTGTAGATGAAAAAGCATGTTGAAAATGGGAAGGAATACCCTATAGTAGGGTCACATTTCAATCTGTTAAAATGTGCATCAAGTTGTAAAGGATGAACCACCTCTTAGAGATGAGTCAAGGGCTGATAGAAGATCGGTAAGAAGATGATTCTCTTAAATAAGAATCAATGATCACAAGGTCCTTTCAGATAATGTAATCAATGATGATGGAGAATTTCTTTTTACACCTGAATGTGCAGGTTCCACGCAAAAAATCCAAAATACTTCCAAATTTTGGATGTGCTTATCCGAATGCATTGTATTTGTCAATAATAGATGGATTTTCATGTGCATATCTGAAGTCATTTTATTTTGTTAAGAAAAGGTGACTTCGCATGTGCATATCCAAATCAACCCCATAATTTAATACTTCGGATGTGCATATCCGAAATCATTTAATTGTCTTCAACGTTTTAACGCTTTAGAATCAATTTTCACGTTTACAAACCCAAAACCACCCATTTGTCTACTCAAACTTGAAATTTCTACTCATTCCAACTCATCTCCTCATTTTTACTCATTTCAACTTATTCCAACTCATCTCCAAAGCTCCAAGTTTGTGTAAGTTTTCTCCATTTCCATTTGATTCACTTTGTAATGATATAATAGTTTATTAGGTTAGTTAGAATTAATTATATTGTGTAGGTTGATGTTAGAGTAGTTAACTATTGGTGTTTGAGTGATAAAATAAGATTTTTGGATGATTTAGGGCAAGAAGAAGAAGCTATATGAAGAGCACATGATTGCAGCAACAAGGGTCGAGGGTGATGATGATGAGGTTTTTGTTAAGTACCATCAAGATTGTGCTTTGTGGTGTTACTTCATTTGCTTGGTTGACACACCCCTCTTTGTGGATAAAAATGCAACCTACATAGATGTGATATACCTCCGGTATTTTATGAATTTGAGTATAGTTCGTAAGTGGAACTAGAGGGCCACCATTTTGGTATATCTCTATCAGAGCTGAATGAAGCTTCAAACTGGAGGACGGGGTAGCTCACTGACTCTTGCACACTCCTCACTATACCTTTCATTCCAACTATTGCATTTAATTTATTTTTTATAATTTGTACTTACATATTCTCTAATTTGTGTTTCAGAGCTGGATAATCTCTCATGTCCACCACATTCATGGTTTTGAGCGTGATCCGACTTATACTAACGGCATGCTGAGAGCTGTAAAGTATGTCCTCCACAAAGGGTATCATAAAGTGTTGTCTTACTGAGTGTATCTTGATCGTACTAATCATGATGATATCAAATGGACGCCTTTCGAGGATCACATGGATGTTGTGTCCCCTTCGGCCTCATCTCATTATACTCCGGGTGGCTAGCATGTGGGTCGAATATGATGGTCATGTATCTTCTGGAGCAGTGTATCTGACAGTTTGGGTTTGTGCAGATGATACAGAGGTCTCTATTTCAGGCTGCTCCTGACACCATTGTCTGTCGGGAACTCGATGACATCTTTCAGGATTGGGAGAATCATTTGGTGCCACATGAGTATCGGATGATGTCGGCATCTAGGAGTTGGTATTATGTAGAAGGATACATGACATGGTTCTTTAACGTGTCACAACCTATCATGACATCGGGCGGTCCAGAACGTTCATCTAGGTTAGCTCATGAGGAGCTCTTGGAAAACCAGTAGGCCGAGGATGACCATGCCACTGATCTCTTACCGATCTGTCAACAGATATACATTCTTGGGCAGGAGGCATTGAATTTCGGGATCATTGAGAGGGGAGGTCCTGAGACGGTTGTCATCGTTGGGAGGATGGTTATCAAGGTATCCAGTGCGGCGTAATATAGGAGGCAGAGGAGGTTACATGAGATTAGGATTAGGGCATATGCATTAGTAGTAGCCTATGTTATGTTTTATGTTTTTACCGGTGTAATATTTTGACATTACGTATTTTCTGAACAACTTATGTATTATATTATGTTTCTCTATTTCTGAACATCTAATCTAATTGTTATGTCCGTATTGTTATGTTCGTTTCATTTTTCGTCCAAATCGTATCATTTTATGTTTGTCCGTTTGTCCGTTTATTAGGTAGTGGTAATGATGTTTTTAAAAAAAAGACATAAACATACAATATTTTGGATATGCATATTTGAAACATATGTTGACATATTCGCAGGTGGTTTCGGATATGCATATCTGAAACTAACTCTAAAATTTTAAATCCAACGTTTAAGTGTTAAAACGTGGAAAAATTGTGATTTCAAATGTGCATATCCGAAACATGCCGAAATATTTTTAAGTTTTGAGAGGTTTAACTCGATACAACCACGTGGAAAAAGAAATTCTCTGATGATGGAGAGTTGGTACACCTGGCTTTCATGAGAAACACCGGGGCTATCAGTTGGTAGGAAAGGCTTTGCATATCCACAATAGAAATCAAATGAGCAAAAGATGAAATCAATGCTAGAGAGAAATAACACATGACCACTTGTTGAGCCTTCTTCCTCATAAGTCAATTAATTGGTGCATACATAAAAGGTATCGAAATCACAGATTTTGTTATTTGTCTCTGTTGACGATATTCCCATTATTAGTGGTAACATTGATATCATTGAGAAATTCAATGGGAGACTCAAGGATGCTTTTGATACGAGTGATCTATGCAAACATCTCAAACAAAATATTAAGTGCGCTAAATTCTCAATGTGAAATACTCCCTCCATCCTAAAATAAAAGTTTTTTAAAGATGATGGCACACAAATTAAAAAAAAAAAATGAATAAAAAAATAAATATAACACATTTATAAAATTGTCTTTAATGATTATTGATTACTTTTACATTGTCATAAAAACAAAGTGAAATTTAATACCTTAAAAGTAGTGCAGACATAATTAATTAAGAATAAAATTGGTAAAAACTAATTAATATTGTATTGGAAAAGTAAAACATATAAATTTTTTATATTAAAGAGAGGGAGTACTACTAATATTATGTTATAACAAAAATATTTAGGTATTCTTATTTACTATATAAATCCACCCCAGTTAAAGTAACAACCATCATTCATCTATGAGTACTGCACTCTGAAGTGAATATTTTCATTGGGTGTGTGGTTATCTGTGTTGGTCAGCCAAACATTCCAACTTCATGGATACCTGTGTTACCATTGCAATTACATAGCTTGAATCCTACATTCAGCAGTATCTGGGACTGTTGCCACAAGCAGAAAATAAAAACTGGCACTTTCTCCAGTGAGTATTAAAGGGTTCAAAGTAATTATCAGTGTGGTTTTCCAGTCCAGAACTTGAACATAATTTAGGAACATAATATGGCCAATCTTGCAACTTTGCAAAGTGAGAATTGACAGAATGAATTTGACTTGTATTCATTTTTACTATGATAATATTTACATATCTCATCCGAATTGATTTACATCCACGGTTCTGTCAATAGCTTTCTGAGCTTCGCCCCTTATGGATATAAGGTTCTTTTTTATCTCTTTACAAAGTCTACCCTCTATGAGCCCAACGGGCAACCACATCTTCGGCTTAACATCAACAATGTACGAAAGTGTTGTGCTAATCTCTCGTACTGGAGACTCGTCACTTCCACTGCTGAACAGCTGCAAAACCATCATTATCTAGGAAATTAGCACTGGATTTGTGCCAACCTAGTTGAATACGGTTTCAAAATCTCACAAACTTATGATCTTTGAAAACAAAGTCATTGATCATTTTTAGTATATATGATTTTTATGCCGGAGCCAGAAGAATTCAAACAAGAAAGGAAGAAAAAAAACCGTACCTGTGAAATAGACCATTTTCCTTCAAAGAGTTGAAAATCCCCTTCAATCATCTTGAAGTCTATGTCACGCTTGATACCGGATGGAAGAGTCTCCAATTCTTTCTCGTAACAATCTATAACACCTTTGGCATCAAATTTTAGCCCAAATGCCAAGTTCTGCTCTCCAATCTGTTGAGATGAAAATGGGTCAGCAAAAAAACCAAATTGATGAACAAGAAAAAACATAGAAAAGCATGGTGTGAAGAAATAACCTGCAAAAGTCGAGCAAAAGAGGGAGCTTTTTGTATCAATTTACTAAGAGCAAGGCCAGGAATAAAATCCGGCAGCCTCTCATAATCAGTCAAAATATCCCAAACGGAGTCAAGTGTAGCGTCGATTGAAATCCTAGACTCGATTCTGCGTGAATTCTTCTCAAGCTTGGTCACCTCTATGAAAACCCCATCCTCAACCAACGAGTCTGGTTCTTGAATTTCGTTATCCTCTGTGGCCAACAAATTCCCAGAGTCGTTGTCGTCATCATCGAGGTTGTTGGATTTGGAAGCTGGAGAGAAGAAAGGAGTGGTTTTAGTTTTGGAGGTGAAGGAGCGTGGTGTGGTGGAAAGGGTTTTGTTGAAATGAAAAGAATGAGAGAATAAAAGGGTGGAGGAAATGGAAGAGGGTGATGGTTGAGGGAATAGGAAAGCTTCCGTGGAGACTGGAATCGCGCGCATTGTTCTCTTTTCTTTTCTTAATTTTGGTATATTCGACTCTCTTATTTATCTCTCTATTATTTCTCATCATACGGCTAACTTGGAATTCTCGCCCAAAGTTTTTTTATCTTCTCCAAAACTATAAAAAATTCAAAATAAACCATTCCTCATATCCACCAATTATTAAATCTTCAACTCAACAAAAATATGATTTTACTGAATCCAACATTAATTTCAAAGATAGTCAAAGTGAGAATAAAAAGGATTGGTGGGTTTCTATCAGAAGTATGTTGATGAACCCACCCCACACTCAGTCACTAACAAAAGTTTCCAACTCCCAATTGCCTCTGTTTATGCACAGTCACCAACAAAAGTTTTCAACTTTATAACATAATCTTATATTTGTAGGAGTATCATTCAAGACTTTGCAGAAAGAGATAAAAATTGGTTGTTTTTCTTGGTGATTCTTCGAAGGCTATTCTTGGTGATGCTGCTGTTTTAGGTTTTGTGGGAGTGCCTTGGACATTAACAACATATATAGTTGAAGGAGGTACAACACGCACGTATACAAACATTAAAAGCATGTGTCATACGACAACACATATATTGAGGACTTTACTTTCTCATTTGACAAAGGCAATAACAGATTGCATCGTTTTCCAAGTCGAATCGGGGGCTCACTGCATATAAATATTTGATTCATGGGGTGGACAACTACCTCCTCATATGTGGAAACTTTGGTCAAAACCTTATATTAAAGAGGTAACTAGAGGAAAATCACCACTTCTTTCTTGCCTCAAAATTGTTTTAGGTTTTCAAACTTTTCGTTGTTCGTTACATACTACTTTCTCAACTTCCAGATTGTAAATTTGGTGAAGAAAAAGTGCCTAGAGAAACCAGTTGTTCTTTATATAAATGGAAATGGTGGCCTTCTCGAGCGTGTGATAGATACTGGACACATTTTAAATCTTAGGCACAATGTTCTTGTTGGTACATCTGAAGAAGCTAGCACATTTCTTTGATGTAGCCAGAAGCTTGAAGTTTGACACAGTCTCTCAAAATAACACTGCAAATGTAGCTTAAAGGAAAATGTCAATATGGTAGCCACTTATACTTTTCCTAGTAGATCAAGCCATTTCTGAATTGTCTATTTTGAATTATTTTTTTAGCTTTAGGGAAAAAAATGAAGAGTTTAATTAAAACCCAGAAAAATTAAATACAGCGTTTATTTTTTCCATTGCTAAGGTTACACGTCAGCATATAATTGACGTCGTTAGTGAAATTTAGACGGAAAGGACTAACGTGACACGTTTTGAAAAGTTGAGAGACCAAAATGATCGTTTTTAAAATTGAGGAACCAAAATGAACCCCAATCTAAAGTTACGGAACTAAAAAGAGTATTTTGCCTATTATTTTCGGTATTCAAGAAACAAATATTTATAGTTGTTGTTCAATTTTTAGTTCTCAAAATCATAACGAAACTATCGATAAAAAGAATATGTTTGACTAACAATAACCAAGCGAGTTCAAGTCTTGATAGACATTTCATGCTTTTTAATTCGGATTACTAATTTCATTTAAAAGGTGAAAAAACACTATGGATTTTTATGAAATTGTCCCCTCAGATTTTAGAGAGGTATTTTTGGCCGTATCATTTACTTTATTGAATAACTCTTCAAATGAGTGTCACCCCATTTTGTTTAAAACTTTATTTCAAAGATACATCTCCAAACAAATCTTATCAATTTATTGATTATTGAGCATCCCAATGGATTTTCCGAAATGCATTTTCAGAGTTTCTAATTGATAATTTGAAAAAATTTCATCTTTGCATGTCGATACTTTTGGGGATGCATTTTCAAAATTATCAAATTTGATTTTAATAAAACAGACACATACATGATCATACCACATGCTTATTTTTTCTCAAAGCTCTTTCAAAAAACTCTTCCATTTTCAATTAAGATTTTCACTTCAAACATTTATTCTAGTGTTTCATCACAACAAAAGGAGCAAAATAAGCTAGAATTCTAGGTGATTATCGTTTATTTCAAGTCCCGTTGCTCACATTAATCTTGTTTTGTAGTTGGAAAACTTACGTTGAATTTAGAAATGTATTTTTGGATTCTGTATGAATTCCTCTGGAAATGCATTTCTGAAGTCTATATGTTATTATTTGCCCCCAATCTATTTTCAATTTCATCTGTTTTTGAACATTTATGTTATTATTTTCATTAGATATGGTGCATCCCGATGTTTTCCCCAAACCTATTATGGTTCTGGATGGCAAACATGTTGTTATGAAGGAGGTAGATGTTGGCAACCAATTTACAAATAGACAAGAGTTTGAATTTCATGATTACATGCTTCAACAGATTCGTACAGAGGCATCCGAATTGGGGTTTGGTGTTATAATCAGAAAGTTGGATAATAGTTCAGATATAAGAGTTGCATTTGTGACAATGGTATGCAAAAGAAGTGAGAAGTATACAACTCCCCTCCAAAAATTCAAACGAGATGACATCGATTCAAGAAAATGTGAGTGTCTCTTTAAGTTGTATGGTTATAGCAAATGACAAATGGAAATTTAATGCGGTATGTGGATTACATAACCATGACATGTGTGAAAATTTAGTCGGGCATCCAATTGCACATCGCCTCATGCCGGAAGAGAAGGAATGTGTTTCTAACATGACATTGAATATGGAACAACCAAAAAACATACTTGAAAGTTTGAAATGTAAAAGACCTGGAAATATCTCAAATACCAGGAAAGTATACAATATCCAGGCCCTTAATAACAAGACGTTGAGGGGGATAGAACTGAACTGGAACAACTCTTGAAAATTCTGGATGACAATAATTATGTATCTAGGTACCGAATGTGCGAGGATCGAGTAACTGTTAGAGATATATTTTGATTCATCTATATTCCATCAAGTTGTTCAACAAATTTCCTATTGTGCTAATCATTGATTCAACATATAAGACCAACAAATACAACCCTTCCATTATTAGAAATTATTTGTGTTACCTCTACTAAGAAGACTTATTTTGTCGGATTTGAATTTTTAGAGAACAAAAAAAGAGAAAAATGTTACTTGGGCTTTAGAGGTGTGTCGGGTAATTTTGAAGGACCAAGAAGACATGTCGAAAGTAATTGTCATCGAATGTGACACTGATTTACAGAATTAGGTTGCAAAGGTATTTTCCACTTCTTATGCATTACTTTATAGGTATCACATAACAAAAAATATGAGAAGTCGGGTTAAACCCGCAGTATGGACGAAATAGATAAAGGCTGAAGACAGAAAAATGGTCAAGGCGGACGTGATAATGGAAAGAATAATGGATGTATGGAATGTTATAATAAATTCTTCTACAAAAAAGTTATACGCTAATGTCGTTATATATTTTAGGAAGGTTTATGAGAATTATCTAGATTTGTTGAAATATGTTGAAAGTACAATTCTGGACCAGGTGAAGGAGAAAATTGTTTGTGCTTGGACCGATCAAGTTAGACACCTTAAAAATGCAACAACTAACCGAGTTGGGTCTGTCTATGCTACACTGAAGAATTGGTTGGGAAATATTAAGGATGATTTGTGTAGAGATTGAGAGTTTGTGAACTAAATGATCCAAAATCAACATAATAAGATATTGACATCATTTGGTCGCAACATCACAACGTGGAACACACATTCAAAGACAACAAACTTTATTCTTATTTGGTCGGCAACATATCTCGAGCAGGCATGAATTATATTTTTCACAAGGAGCTCGCATTAGCAAACTACCTCATTCACCACGTCCACCAAAAATTTCATTCATTAAAGAGATGTTGGTTTTTATACACAGATACGTTGAACGGATCGTCAATGTTGAGGGCAACGATAACAGTAGTTTTCGAGTTGTTTCTGCTTTACTCGGTAAAAGAGAAGAGGATCACACAATATTCTGCCATAAACTTATCCAAAAGTTGAAGGGTCATGAGGAATCATACACGCCACTATACAAGAAAAAATAAAAGTTCAATGCAATTTATGAATACCGTATTCCTTGCATTAGTGGACCAGCACTGGATAAAATGAGCTATCTCATAACAAGTGTGTATGAAAGAGTGTATTGATTTTGCAAGACATGGTTCTTATGAAACATTTTTCCACTGCGCGCTGCCTCATCTCCAAACCCAAATGATGGTATTATATGTGTTGGGTAGATTTCAAATTTGTGGCACTTTATTCAAGCTTATTTGAAATCGGGATGTCTAATACCATTGGCATCACTAAAGTGGACATCTCATTCAACAGCAAAAATTGATACTTGTTCGAACCATTTTGTGGAAAGAATGCAAGAGTTCACCAAATTAAGCGAGATTGAAATAGAGTCAAATAAATAAAAGTCAAATAGGGCACCACCCGTAGATATAGAATTAGTTGGCGACATATATTTCGGTTCATTTTAGTTTTTATTCAACAACCTATTTTATGTAATCTTATATTAATATTAATTATGTATAATATATACATTTTTAGAATATTTCAATACATTTTTATGTTTTTTGATTATTTTTTTTTTGAATTTAATACAGTTTTTGTTTCTCTCTGGAACAAAATTTCATTCTATTCTGAGAGGTTCTGAAAATACATCTCTGAAATAAAAGAATGGGATGATACCAAAAATGCATCTCAGGAACATCCCCTGGTACAAGATAGAATTTATTAGGGCCATATTTCTCCATAAATACTATAAGTATGGGCTTTTTTCTCATGTTTCATACCAAAACATATTACACCAGAATGAACATCAATTGAAACGATGCAAATGTATATTTTAATGTTGTGAAACACTCAATTGAATTTAAGATCAATGAGTATACCTTTATTGCAGATCTAAAACACATACTGCATAATCTCCTACCATACACCGACAATGGAAAAATTGAGAAGCTTGAGTACCGTTCACAGTCGATTGACAATGAAGGGAAGATTGAGTTTAACAACTTTGAGCTGAAGACAGGT